AGGAAGATCTTGCTTACTTTACGGTTACATAAATGTTTTCCACAGAACTAGTTTAATAATCACTTTTGTAAAAAAATGAGGACACCTACTATTAATTCACTGAGCTGTCTGAAGTTTACTTTTGTGGTTCAACAATAAAGACGTGTAATAGTTCTCTCCTGCGATACGACGTGTCTGACACCTTGAGAACACCGCAGTGGAAATGGTGTTTGAGATTGTGGGCCAAAGGACTTTAAAGTCTTTGATTTACTTTCGTATTTAATGATATGGAATGCAAGTCTCCAGCGACCTTTTGCTGCTTGTTTGGGCGCTGTTTCCTGGGTGGTAACGCTGATGTAGTTGTAGTAATAGTGAAAATAAAAAGGCCCGTATTGTGATCTGGGTACCACCCACGTTGTTTCCCTGCGTTGTGTGGGAATGACAATTTTGCTTTTCTTGTAATCACAACAGTATTTTGTAATTTGGTACGCAGAACAGTGAAATAATCCCAGCTGTCTGATGGTGACTCTACACGGGCTTGCTGACGGTCCAGACATGCACCACTGGCGCCACCTTGTGGAAATACTGCTTCTCACCACGCTGATTTACAATTTCACCCCTAGCATAAAGCTCTATTAGATCAGAGTTGACATGATGCTGCCTGACGGATCCGAGAACGTGTCACCAACAGTCAGTCATCAAAATGAAACACTGTTTTCACTGTTTTGGTCACTGTTCGTACATTAAACATGTTTGGAGAGAGCAGGAGGCTATAAAGCTGCACTAAGTAATAATTTGATATTAACAATGGATCAGATTGCTTCATGTAAAGTGAAAGGTGTTGCTGGTCGTAAATAATCCACAGAAAATTTCCCCCCAACTCCTCAGTTCCTCTGGGCTCTAACTGCATGTTTCAGTTCATTGTTTTGATCCTCTGCCTGTAACTTTATTGTTTTGGTTCACTCTTCCTCCTCTCATTATTTCTTATTCCCAGCAGCACCAGGCAGCTGTTTTCAGTGTAAAAGCTCACAGTAAACAGATAAAGTTACGGCAACTAGCTGGTTTGGCAGCTACAGAGGCGGAGTTGACAGGAACCACGCCGGAGCTAAAAAGAGAGCAAATACCGGACTTTAGCAATTGGCTGCAAACACAACTACATTTTTTATAATCTTATTTATCATACTTGTTTAATTAAAAGGTGTATTACACATTAATAAACAAGAAAACAAAGAGATGTTTTAATCAGTTGTTCTTGGACAGAGCGTCACCATAAAGCTAAAATATGAGCACGTAAAAAATAAAAACTAGGGACAAAATTTGAGGAAGAAAAAAAATGTGCAGGGCACCACTTTGGTAAATTATTAGACACTGAGCAACAAAGAAATGATCAATGTGAGTACTAATGTCAGAAAGGCCTAATAAAACAGCATCATTAAACACTAACTGAACAATGCAAGGCAGAAGTAGAGACATAAAAGGAACATAAGTACATCAAGTTAAAGATAAAAGCAAAGCCACAGGTAAAGACTGGCATGAAGGCGCCTGTTTACTTCTCATCCTACATGCCATGTAAACAGTTCAGCCACAGCCTACGCTCCCAGGACGTCATTACTTTCACCGTCCCCTCAGTCTGCACAGAAGTCAGAAAAATGACATTCTGTTTCTCTGCCCCCTCAACCTGGAACTCACTACAGAATCTGAAACTGTCCAGCTTGATTCCCCTGGGGGACTTCAAACGTCTGCTAAATACCCTGGAAAGATCATCTCCTGGTTCACGCTCTTGTTCTTAGTGTTTCATTCTGTTTATCGCTTGGCACTGGTCGCACTTCCTTTTTAATGTCTAATGTTGTGTTTTATGTTGATCCTGTCCGTCTGTAACTCACTCTTACTTTTTATTGTTGTGTTTGTTGAGGACAGGTCCCGCAGTGTTGTCTGTTGTCTGATTCCATGTTGTATTGTTTTGTTGTTTGCGAATAGGTCTCTCTTGAGAATGAGACTCCATGTCTCAATGAGATTACCTTTATAAATAAAGGAAATAAAGGTACACAGGGAGACGCTGGCAATGGCAAGACAGAGGCAACAGCAGCAGCAGCGAGGTACCAGTTAACAATTTCTTTAAATGAACGTGAAATAAGCGAAGTGTGTCCAGTTCTCCGATTCATATTGTTTCATAGTTTCTGTCTTGTGCAGCTTTAACACCAGGGTTAAAGCTGAGGACTCAAGGAAGTGCAGCGTTGAATTAGTCTGAAGTCATTTTTTGGGCCCCCAGTTGACCTTTGACCCGTGGTTCAGGCCCAAGCCATCTCTGCTGTGAGGCAACATCATCAGAAGAAGGTAAGCTGGTGACATCACATTGTGATAAATGCCATAAAGACATCAGCAGAAATAGAAATTATTGCTATATAGTGTAAAAAGCAACGGGTCTGGGATGGATCCTTGTGGGACACCTGTGCTCACACAGAGGGCAGCTGAACTACATTCTGTATTCAGACAAATTGAAACTTCTGCTGTTTGTTTCAGTTAGATGTATAAATTAGCAGCTGTTAGTATTATATTTACAGCTTGTTTTTTCTGCCCCCAAGTGGCCAAAAATATGTTAAGCACATTTTAAAATGCCCCAAGGAGCAGAAAGACATGATGAGGTAACTACATCCACAGATGAGCCTGGATAGCTGGACCTGATCAGTGGAAGCCACTGTGCTGTGTTCCAGGTCCTTCTGATTGAACATCACATGTGACTGCAGCAGAGAGAATCATCATTCCAGTGGCAGTGGTGATTGCACAAGCAACTATATTTGAATGGTTCTCTTTTTATATAAATATATATAGTTTGCTTCCTGAAATTGCCAGTTGGCTCAGACTTATCTGAATGTATCTTCACCTGACTGTGGAAAAAATGTGATAACTGAGCCATGGCAGGATATGGTCTCTTTAGAGTCCATGCTGCCTGAAGTGGCAACCCTTAAGGGTCTTGCAGACAACAGTGTAAATGAAGACTGTCATGAGATGAAGACAGACTACAAAGACACCTTTAATACAATGAATTGCCGCTGAGTAGCTGTTAAATGCCTATCTTTGAAACTTGGTTTTATGGTGACACAACCGTGGAACTAAAGTTTCACGGCGTCCATGGTGACTGAGAACAGTGTGTGCACTGTGAATGAGGCAGCTGAGAGGACCGTCATGGCTGAGGAGCTGATTTTTCTTAAAACACATAATGGACAGTCATTGAAGAAAAGAATGACCAAAGGCAAAGGCTGAAAAACATCCAGACATATACAGGAGCGACATGCTTTTAAAAGAACCTGATGCAGAAGCTCCTGTAATGTAAAACTCAAAGAAGTCTGAGTCAGTATCAGATGCGTGTATATTACTTGTAACTGAATTTTTATCTGTATATTACATTATGTTGGGAAATGGATTTTACGCAATACTTTGACGTCATGCAAATATATTGCAAGTGACGGCCTTTTACAAGTTTGCAGCATCTTGATAAAGTTATTTCACTCTTAAGTCACATTTTATGGTCTTATTGACAGTTAAAGCTAACTACATGTATCTTTATTATCTCTACAGGGGGCACTGCCCAAAGATGATGATTATACTTCACATGACACAAGATTTACAGTCAAAAGTTCTACATGCATAGTTTACTTCAGTAAACAAGAACATAGATTAGAACGTAGATTTTTTTGAGAATTGTCTTGTACTATAGACTAAGAGAGCATCTTAAACATATTTATTCTTCTCTGTATATCCTCTCAAGCAGGAATAATCACAGTTTTCTTTCAGCTTAGGTGAAATAAACTGTAAATTGTGTTTTTAATGCTGCGACCTTTGCAGCAAACTGAGGTGGTAAATGACGTCAATCTGTCCAGCTCAGCATTTCCCAAACAACGCAGCCTACAGTCACTGAAACTATGTTCAACCCCAATCATCCTGACTCACATGACTTCAATTAAACACTGAACTTCTGACTGCTCTGATCACACAATGAGATAAAAGCTTCTGCAGCACCACACCCTCAGCTCATCTTTGAACTCAGGAGCAAATGTTACTTTGCTTTAAAGGAGACGATTGAAAGTGTGTGTCTCTTAATTGTGGACATTACCACAGATCGCAAACCTGTAGATTCAGTTTTATTTACTCTGCTACATCTGCTACAACTTACAATATGATACTGAAGTTCTGCCAATATACTTGTGTAGTTCCCCTGTTCTATTACACATATAATAAAAATCTGATCCGAGGAGTGGAGAACTGGTTTCACCACACTCAACTGGCAAAAACAATGATAAGATTTTAGGTCAGACATTTTCCAAAATAAAAGCATGCTTTCTGGAAATCACAGGTCATGGTTTAACTTCAAAAACAAACAAACAAACAAACAACATTTAAAACACTTGGACTGATTGTTAAAAGCAGTATCATGAATAGTAGCAGTATTAGTTATTATTCAGTGGTGTAGTCTCTTCACAATAAGAGTTCAGATACAGAACAAAAACTGAACATTCTTGTAGAATAAACTATCAGTCTGCATATGAATGAGTTCAGATTAAATTCACCTGAACCAGTTACAGAATTGGGCTTCAGTAGGACACATTAACTAGGACTATTGTACATGGTGTACTTTTGCTTGTGGCCTACATTTTGTTAGAAAAAAAGAGAGAGAGAGACAAGAAAGAAAGACAGAAAGAAAGAATGCAAGAGCAAGCAAGCAAGAAAGAAAGAATCTAAAGAATCTACAGTCTTGTTTCACTGAGATCACTTTGACTTGTCTCAGAAATGAGGGCTGCATTTCCTGTGTTTGTGTTTGACACTGAGCTGTTGTGTAACTGACTTCCATTACTTGCTAACCTGATCTGAACATCTGCACCACCCTCTGCCATAATCATTGACATTTTGTCACATTACTGTCGAGATCAACTCTAAATCCTTCTGTTTGTTTTGTTAAAGCTCCTCCGCGTGTGGAGGCTTTTATTGTGAAACACCGGAAGCAGCGCTGTGACTGTTGTCGCTGGTCCCGTGGAGGACCGGCCCTCTCTCCGGTGGCGCTCTGGTGTCTCCGGTGTCAGGCTGCGGCTCTCTCGGACAGGAGCGGTCATGATGGTGCGGAGCGCGGTGCTGCTGCTGCTGCTGGCCGGACAGGCGGCGCGCTGCCCGGCGGAGGTCAGTCCTCCTACGATCAACATCAACCTGGACGAGGATGCAGAGGTGCGCTGGAAGCCTCTGCTGGACGTGTTCGACCTGGACTACCTGAGGAAGGCAGCAGCGGAGGTCATCGAGTAAGTTTTCCTGTTCTGCTCATAGGCAGTAGTGGAATGTGATTGTTGTTATTAAACTACACATGAGAAGCTCTTGAACTTTATTAACTTCTTCCACGTTATGCAACTTTCATGCTGCTGCTCTACTTCACTCTTTGCTCCACCACGTTTTCTCACAGCTGTAGTAACGTTTCAAAATTGCACTTTATTACATCCTCCCTGTCCAGTGAAAACCTTATAGACTCAAAAGCATGCATCAGCACAAAGTACTTAAAATAGAAAAAGTAAAACTACTGATTCTTCTGCAGTCAAGTGGTTGTTATTTGGATATTAATGCTGCATTAATTTTGCATTTTCCTGCTGTGTATGTTTAAGGTTGAGCTCATTTTAACTACTTTATAGACAGTTTTTAGTAGTTTAACCTGCAGTAAAGCATCCTATTCAACAGTATGCTTCTATTCACTGTAGACGTGATGACTGAATGTTTGTGGTTTTGGGCTGACAAAGATCCGCCCTATAAAAGTTACACAAACTGTTTGATAACCAGCTTGGGGCTGTTTTCTTGAACTTGATGAGAACTGACTTTATCCAGTTTTGTGATTCTCAGAGGACAGCAATACTGCAAACATATGATGATCTTAATAGAACATGATGCACTTCTAGTGATTCAACTACCCACCAATATATAAACTAGTTAACTCGACCTTAACCCTGTTCAGGACTTTCATGTTGCCGTATGTAGAAGGTTCTTCAGGGTCCACTGGACCCCCAAGACAAAATACATGCAAAATATTATCCATTATAGACTGTTGTACTATGTTAAATATATTTTCTGATAAGTTGACGTATTTTTGGTTCCAATTGCATCACAAATGTCCCTCTTTTTGTATTTAAAAAAAAATCTTCAAAAATAAAAAAAACAATCCCTGTCACCTAAATCAAATAGCCTGGGGTCCAAAAGACCCCCAAAAGTCCTGAATCAGGTTCAACATGTACAGCAGTAAAATGCTAAAAACATCATAGATAACAGTAAAACTGACAGGAGGAATTTCACTTTTGATATTTTAATTGTCATTTAATGATAATGACCTTTTACTTATGAACACACAACACATGCTTGTGATGGAGTTTTTTCATTGTGTACCAGATCTTTATAAGGTGTGGATCTAAAAAAATGTTCTACCGCTGGTTTTACCACATAGCTGATGATTACAAAAATAACCCCAAGGAAGTGTGTTTTCATGCAGGTCAGGTGAGCAGTGGCTATGACAAGGCTTTTTAACATTTAGTACCTAGACTTTATATGCATGGCAGCAGAGCCCTGATTTAGTTCTTCCTCGTTTAGAAGAACATTTCAAGTGTCCACAGCATCGTTCTGCTTTGTCATCACTTTTTTTTTTGCTGATGCGAACATGATTGTGATGAAGGCGCTGCATAAATATTAAGTCATATGGCACATGTACATGAAGTGATTTCCAGTAAAAAAAACAAAAAAAACCCAATAAAAACAACAACAAAAAACAACAGATTGGTGAAATAAATTAACAAAACAAGTTTAGACATTCAGCCTTTGACCCTACAGTTTTATTTATGGTGGGATTTTATCTGAGTAATTGACATATTAAGGATTAAAACTGCATTAAAGTTAAATAAAATACTTTACCTGGCTATAATACATATTAGGGCTGAGACCCTACAGCGTTAAATAAATTATAGAGATTAAAATGACTAATTTAACAGCCAAGATACTTTGATATTATTAATTATGGATCTTAACCTCAGTAATTTAAATATTCAGGCTACAGCATTAATATTTAAGGAGATTTACTTGACTACTTTGGAACTGACTAAAAAATCCATAAAAAACTACAAATAGAGGGATTTGTTTTATTTTATTTTATGTGTTTTCTACATTGCTCAGCAGGAACGCTAACTTCTGTTTCAATGATCACTGTTGTTGTGTTTGTTTTCTGTTGTTCCAGAGTTTTCAAACCATCGTGTTTTCTTTTTTTTCAGCACTACAGTTCCAAAATGGGTGCATCATGCAGTCACACCTATTGTGGAGTCCCTGGAGAAGTACATTCCTCAGCCTTACGCCGGGGAGATCCGCGGCTTAGCCAAGCACATGGGAGGAAATCTGGCCGATACCGTCATTCTCAACTTTGCCTATGAAATTACTGCGTACGTATGACTTTTTTTTTATCCGTGTAGATGTTCGGAGACCCACGTTGTTGAAACGAGTATGCGGGAATACGGTGAAACCCCTCTAATGCATGCCAACAAACTCTATGCACTTCTAGATTTTGCACTAGCATCATAGCTCAGGACAAAAATGGCCTCCTGTACCACGGCAGGAATCTCGATTATCCGCATTCTGTTCTGACGAATCTGACCGTCAACGTAGTTTTCCTCAAAAATGGAAAGGTACAGTATGCGTTCAAAGCATTTACTTTTGCAATTATGCAGAATCGTTAGCCGGGCAGCACCCTGATCAGCTGCACAAAGGAAGTGCTTCTATGCTGATACGATGGTCTAAATAGAATGAGTTTTTGCTGACACATCCTTTCAGGTGGCGTACACTGGAACCACATTTGCCGGCTACGTTGGCTTGTGGACCGGACAGAGCCCTTACAAGTTCACTATCTCAGGTGACCAGCGAGGTAAGGGCACTCATGTTTGTAAAAAGATTTGTATTGTTTTGTTGTTGTTGTTGTTTTGCTTCTACATTTCTTTGTGTCCATCAGACTCAGAACACTGGTGGAACTGGTGGAAGAACTTTGTGTCCGCTTTCATGTTCCACAGATCTCCAGTCAGCTGGCTGTTCAGGGAGGTAGGTGTGCTACAGAAGTCGGTAGACTAAAGAAAGTTTGAGGAAATGAAAGCTTGAAGCAATTGTGTGTAACTCATGCAGACCCTGGCGGATGCAGAGGACTTTCAGGACGCAGTGATGCGTTTGTCAAAAACTCCCCTCATCGCTGGGGTGTATTACATCGTGGGCGGAGTTCGAGCGGGCGAAGGTGTCGTGATCACCAGAGATCGAGGAGGTGCCGCTGACATCTGGCCACTGGACCCTGTGAATGGATAGTAAGCAAAAGACGACACTGTTCCAGTGAAGTGCATCACTTTCTTCTCTCACTTTTTTTTTTTTTGCAATATGTCTGGCATCGCTAAAAGAAGTATAAACAAATTATATATTAAATGAATAGTTAAAGCTAGGGCTGCAAGGTGGCACAGTTGGTAGCACTGTTGCCTCGCAGCAAGAAGGTTGCCGGTTCGCGTCCCGGTGGGGGCACTGGGATCTTTCTGTGTGGAGTTTGCATGTTCTCCCCGTGCAGCGTGGGTTCTCTCTGGGTTCTCCGGCTTCCTCCCACAAGGTCCAAAACATGTTGAGGTTAATTGGTGATTCTAAATTGTCCGTAGGTGTGAATGTGAGTGTGCTTGGTTGTCTGTCTCTAAGTGTAGCCCTGTGATAGACTGGTGACCTGTCCAGGGTGTCCCCTGCCTTCGCCCTAAGTCAGCTGGGATAGACTCCAGCCCCCCACGACCCTCGTGAGGATTAAGCGATGTATAGATAATGGATAGTTAAAGCTATCTGTGGGGCCTCCAAAGGGACCAGGGAAGGCCGCAGCTATCTCTGATGTGTGGTCAGGTTTATTGTGTAAAACGTCAGTATTTAAGTTTCAGTTCCTGCAGCTCTGGTAACTAAATGTGAATGAAAGCAGAACTAAATGCAGCACATAGCAGTAGCAGTCGGTTGGCATTAACCTCACAGTTTGTGCGTTTTAGGTGACAAAGGCACACAGACCTCATCATGTTAACGGGAGCTGAAGTTCAGTTTGTTGAGAGTGAAATTTTGTATTTATTTAGAATTACAAATAATCTGTCCTGGAGACAACCAATCAGGATGTAGCAGTGAAGGACACTGTTTCCTCACCTGAGAAGTGAACCGTCGCACACAGAGTCACGGTTTATCAGCTGCAGTTAAATCTTCGGCTACACAACTGAGTCCTGAGCTCCATCACAGGGCAGATATTATTTTATAGTTTCAGTTTGATGTGTTTACTGAAGTCTCAATATTTTTCACAGCAGTGACATTAATATGTCTGTATAACAATAAAACACATATTACTGTACTAATAGGTTACTGTAGTTTGATAAATGATTACACACATGGAAAAAAATATCTGTGTTAAAATCATAACATAAAACTTTTTTACTTAAAATATTTTGCAGCATCTCTTCTCTTGGACTATATTGAAAGGTGGTCACCAACAATGCTCACCATGTCACCTGTATTAGTGAATACACATCAGACAGTTATCTATGTAACATTACCTGTAAGGATAAGAAACCAAAGTATACAGTTTTTTTAACTCTCATGTTGATGTAACTTTCACTTGTTCTCTATACAACGACATCATAGAATCCCTGAAACTGACTTATGACATTTAGCTTGTATGTGCCGCCTAAAGATTTTCAGTGAATCTATTTGGCCACCCAATGAGCAATTTCTGGAGGTGTCACTGAAGGCAAAACTAACTACTTTTAAAATATTCCAAAATGCCAAAACACGACATTTGTAATTGAAATCTTATCAGAGTCCCTCAAGTTTAGCATTTTAAGTGAAAATTTTAATTCCAGCAGATGCCATCCTGACACAAGCAAGGCATCACTGCACTTCTCGCAGCTTGTGTTCATAGAGCTGAACGTACCAGCTGATGCGGTGTTATATCCCCAACATGATCAATCTGTAAGAAGCGATGTTCACGTAGAATATGAAGGAGTGATGCACTTTCTTTCAACACAAAGAGAATCCGATGTATGAAAGTGTGTGCTGAGTGTGTCTACGCAACTGAACAAACATGTAACTGTGTGTTCCTGTTTTAGTTGGTACAGAGTGGAGACGAACTTTGACCACTGGCTTCCTACCCCGGCCTGGGATCATCGAAGGTGAGTCATGATGAACACATCCATAATGATGATGTTCGCCTCACTGTTCTCACACTGTGTTTGTTTCTTAGAGAAGCAGCCAACAAAGCGCTGAACGCTACGGGCCAAGATCACATCAACATGGAGACGCTCTATCAGGCAAGTGTGGTCCAGTGGACCAAAGTGCACGTGATACTGAGAGAAACCGTCAGTCAGCAACATGATATGGATTAAGAACCGAGTCTTGTCTTCCAGGTTCTGTCACTGCCTCCAGTGTGTAATAGGTAAGGAGGAAGTTACGTGACTATTATCTCTCATTTGTGTTTGAACAAATCACAGAGCTGTTGAGATGAAGCAGTTGTTTGCATATCAGTTTCACTTCCCTTTGCTTCACTTCATTAGAATGTCAGCGGGTCTTTGTTGGCCGTCATATCTTAGCACACAGCCAGCAGACCATACAACAGCACTAACTGGGTTTTAGACAGACTCCACTGACTAAATCTGTATTTTAAAGAACTACACAGCATGCTTTAATAAAGTCTTGCATCGCATTTGATGTTCTCCTTTCTCTCGATAACCTCCCAGCATTACCGTTTACACGACGGTTATGAGTGCAGCAGCCCCCGAGAAGTACAACACACTCGTCAGGCCACAGGTAATTCAGTTACACCTCCAACATTTATACTCTCCTGCAATGAAGAAAGTAATGAAACCCTCACTCATTCATTCCCTCTCTTCTCTTTCCAGGGCTGCGTAGGAGAAACTTAACTGACAGACATGGAGCAGTGAACAGTGCAGTGATTTCTCCTTCACACCGTGGTTATACACTGATTCATGACCATGTGGGGATTGTGTAATAATGAGATTTACAAGGGAATTAGACAGTTTTAGGGTAGCAGTGCTTCCACTAGATTAATTTTTTTTATATTTTTATCACTTATATGCAATTTACATTTTAAGATTTATAATCGTTTTGTCTACTTAAAGGTTTGTGATAATGCAGAATCAGCTGTAATCTCACTAGTTCTTATAGCTCTCACTTTGTAAATATGAGCCTTCGAATCTTATTTCAAAGAGTTTAACAAACAATGGATAATGTGGAGAACTGAGCAAGAACATTTGGTATTTTAATGGTGTGTGCTCGTGTTATTTCCGTGGATATGTTTAATAAAACATTTTCAGATTTTCATTACAGACTTCAGTGTTTTAGTATGAGCAAGTGTTGGGAATGGAATTCCACATTATTCAGCTAATCATCATTGTCCGAGCATCATCTGGGTACAACTGTGTAAATTCACAACACTAATTTGCACACCTAATGTATGTAATTTAGAACCCCAGTCAAGCCAAACAATACCACATAAATATTAAGAGTTTTCTTCCTTTGGTTAATTACTCTCTGTCTGCTTTTATTTACAGCAGCAGAGAGACGTTGAAGTGCAGCTCATTTTAGATGGTGGTGTGGAAAAGTTATACAATCTCTTTAACCCAGTTCTGTGCCATTCATGATGATTTAGATAGTGATAGAACTCAAGGGAAAAAAAAATCTTGGAAAGCAACAGAGTTAAGAGCTTGTTAAAAGCCTAAACAGGAAGAACATCTTGCAACTAAAAAAAAAAAAGAATCCACTGAGCCAGCCAAGGGCCTAAGAATAGAGAAGGTGTTAATGTACTGTCTGTCAGCTAATGCTGATGTGATTTCTTGAACAAATATGCACGTGACTCAGGAAGTAACAGAGATGTTGCTGCAAATAGACCCGTGGACACCCGAGGACGACCTGCTACATATTCTAACTCGCTAACAGATTCATTGTCTGTCTTCAGAGTTGTTGTTGCCACTTTAGCGTTTGAGTTCAAGGCTGTCAATTATGTCAGCTATGGGCCCTATGAAACATTGATGCTTCATTGCAAGCCTTTGGGAGAGCAGGGTGAGATGAGACATTCAGTTTTTTGTACCACAGCAGACAGCTACAAGGCATATCTGATGGGAAACTCCAGTATGTGTTGGAGACAAAGCGATGCATGAGTGAAAACAGTGCACGCAGCCACTTGCTTTCAGATGTAGTAGACAAAGACACAGAGCCAGCTGAAGTGTGCCGTCGTCCTATCTGGGCCAAAACCAACATGTAGGGATCTGGGATTTTTGATTTTGAGCGTCTCCTGTGGCAAAAGTAGAAGATTGAACTCTCCTTGCCATCCACAATTGTGATTGGTCCATTTGTTGTCTGTGTTGTGGCTAAATGCCAGTCTCTCATCCAAAAAAGAAAGGCTTTGACCAATGCTGGACCATGTCCTGAAGCTACACAATCACATAAGGTAGGTTGTTCACTTCAGTATAACTAAAGTATTTTGTTATGTACAGTCGTGACTCGATAATCTGACACTAAATGTAAAACCTTCTTTTGGATTGCCAAGACGGAGGTCGAGATACAAGGAGGGCTCGATGCTTGATGGATAATTTGTTGTTAATTATTGTTCATAGTTGTTCTAATAACTAGTAGGGCTGATCCGAGTAGCACTATCTTGTCTCTGGATATTCAGACTCAATTAATGATGAATATCCAAATATTCGGCCAGGGGGGACACTTCCACCCCGGGGCAGCGCTCCGACAGGGTGGAAGTGGTCGGAACGCACAGGCAGTACTTGGCTGCTGATGCCAGTTTAGGATAGCGGTCCCGGTTCCACCATCGGCAGCGGTGGCAGTGCCATTCCCCCACTGCCGCCACCATCCGTGTTTGCTTCCGTAAACACTGAGCACGGTCGCTGCATGTGACGTCACTGTGTCCTCTTCTGAGCATGCGGAACACTTTTGGGTCATATGAAGTTCACACAGGGGATCACATACAAGTCGCATTTAATTGGAAATGTGAACAAACTCACAAAAAAATCTGATTTCACAAAATAATCTGAATGTAGCATTAAGTCCTGCAGTCTGAATGTAGCCAATCTGTCGGATTGTTAAGTCAGAATCCAAGGCTGTTGGTATGTAAAGTCTATTTTTAATGGGTTCCATTCGTTTTTCCTAAAAACCTGTCTGATAGCAAAGTTTTTGGATTGTTACGGGTCGGATTATCGAGTCATGACTGTATATTATAAGTATACAAAATGTTTGTTATTGTCTTTACACACCATCTACCTTTACTTCATCTTATTAATGACATTGTGTTGCTTTCCATCCTGCACCCTGAGTGTTGTTGTGTGTTTAGGGCATGTGACGAGTGTCACATTATAAGGAGGAAGCTTCATGAGAAACCCAACAGCATTGAGGAACTGACTGAAATAAATCCCAGAAGTGCTTAGGAGTTACAAGGTGCAAGTTAAATGGTGTATGTATAAAAAGAATTGCTTCATAAACTTTTACTCCATGCTGTCCCCAACAGGAACTTGACAAGACCTTACCACAGAATGAGCTATTAGAAGAATTTTGCTGCTGTTTGATTTTTTTGTTGGGTTAGTATTTGAAGTGAAAAGAGGGAACTGTGTTGTTATATGGACAGTAGCTGACCAGGAAGTAATTCTGAACAACCTTGAGGAGCGTCTAGACCATCAACAGGCCTGCTGAGCAAACTACATTTTCTTTTGTTCATCAGCCACTAAACGATTCATAAAACAAGTCGAGGCTATCATCCCAGACACCCAGGCCCAATGAAACCACTGCTGTGGAAGTTTTTCTGAGTTGACAAGAGGGTGCCCCCTGGTCAGGGGCAACTATAAAAATCATCCAAATTGCCACAAAGTACACAGTAAAGTGCAAATAAAATTTAATTAAATGAGAATGCTCTGGCTTCTCCTTAGTGAAATCCGGCTATTAATATAGATTTAATTCGTGACATGTGACTCTGAAAATGCCACCAATAAGTGAATGGAACGTAGTTTGTGGAACAACATTAAAACATCATATTCAGAAAATTCCGCTGCAACACATCTGTCCAGGAAGTCATTGTTAATCTGGACAACCCACATCCACAGAACATCATGTGCACAGTTTGAACTGCTTTCAACTTGTTACAGGAAACTCTGTGAGTCCTGACCTCACTATACAAAGGCTTTGTAATGAGGTGATCAGTGTGTAGTGATTAACTTCACCTGTCAGTGGTTATTGTTGTGGCTGGACATTGTATGTTATTACAGAATTATGTTTCACTGTCATTGCTAGTTGTAACTGTGACATAACTTTTGCCTAAATATTTAAAATGTAGAATTTTGAATCAAATTACATACAGTATTATTCAAGGATGTATAGATCCTGTTTACATTTGTGATGGCATACACACCAAGAAAGATTTAAGAGTAAACACATCCTAGCTTTTATATAAAAGACTGCATTGCAAAAGCATAACCCCGATGAGACACTTAAGCCCCTTTTACACTCCTTTTCATTAATCTGAACTTGTCAGCGTCATTTCCAAATGAGCACAATGGTCACTTCTCTGTACAAGCTGCTGAAGCAATCTTACTAAGCTGGACCCTATTAGCACTTCCCTTTCAACACAACACAAGCATGAACTACGTAACAGTTTGTGTGCCGAAATCACAAAATGCCTTCACTTGGCTTTACAATTTATCATCTATTAGGTTATGAAAGGAAATGTCTGTAAAAAGGGTTATTGTGATGAAAACAACAGCTCCGATAACTGATACTTGTCAATAATAGGTGCTTTTTTTTTTTTAAATGTTAAGAGCAGTTGAATTTTATAGAATACAGTAGAAGTACTTTATTGATCCCCAAGAGGAAATTGTGTTGCTGCAGTGGCAAGCAGAAACTCTAAAGTGACCACCATCACAAATATAAAATGAAAACATAATAAGAACAATGCAAATAAATAATTAAGCAGAAATGGTAGGTAAAGTATAATAAAAATAAATAAAAAAGAAAGAAAGAAAGAGAGAGAGACTAGAAGTATACTAAAGTCCTAAATGCACAATAAAGTGTAACATATCCTATGAACTAAAGTGAAAAATAGGGACACACAATATATCAACACCCACATTGGTACTGACTGATAGTAATGTTTTTTCCCATATATCGGTAATAGGTCAATGAACTAATTTAGCCAATGTGAAAAACTGATGATTGTCTAACATTAGCCCCCTTGTCTCTACATTTGATGTTGCTGCGATTTCACAGATGTTTTTACTTAAATGGTCCTGGACTTAAATATGTAAAAATATGTTTAAATATGTTTTACTATTGTTATGTGGTCTAATTTGGTATGGGCTTCTCTTGAATAGTTTCCAAATTCTCACAGTGCCTACTTGCACTCATGTTTTCGGTGTGAACAAAAATTGAACATCGATAATATCGGGTATCGGCGATATCAGAAATCTAATATCGGGTATTGGTATCAGCCAGAAATTTTAATATCTTGCATCACTAGAAGAAAAATGTCGGCAAAATGCGAAATGCACAGATATACTATAGTATGAGGAAATTAAAACGTCACTTTGTTGCTTCCTGCTGTTATTATTAGGAGTTATTGGTCATTATTGCATCATGATATATTACACATTACTCTATGTACAGTGCAATAGCAGAGGAATGATAAAAATCACATGCTGCTGTGGTTGCTGTGGTAACAAAGTCTGGAATGAATAATGCAGAGATTCCTATGCTACTTTTCTAGATTTAAAAAAAAAAAAAAAACTTAAAAACTAAATAAATACAGCCTTACCCACACTAAGCTACTACAATCAGCTTCTGCTTTCACTGTGCGCGCTCCCGTGCGGCTCACGCGCTCCCCGGGGCCGCGCCTCAGCAGCAGCAGCAGCAGCAGCAGCAACACTTGTCAGCAGATCACATGATATGACAAAGCAGCTAGCAGCTTCCTGTGTAGACTGCTAACCCAAGTCACATCCAAAACAGCCGCACAGACCGCGACTACCCTGTCATCCAAGATGCTGGCCCTCATAAACAGGCTCCTGGACTGGTTCAGGTCCCTCTTTTGGAAGGAGGAGATGGAGCTGACATTAGTGGGACTTCAGTACTCCGGAAAGACCACATTCGTCAACGTGATTGCAGTAAGTAGCCAACGTTAGCAAAGACGCGCACAGTCAGTGTGGGCCCCGGCTACTACCTGGGAGAGGTGGTGGACGGAGGTGTCTGACAGATTAGCTGGAGTCGCAGGCAACGTTTTCAGGCTGGTGTTTTGAAAATTATGCACACATGGCTAGTTTTGGTGCCGTAAAAAA